AAAACAATAAATAAATAAATAAATAAAAACCGAAAAAAACAACCCCAAACCAAAGTAACATCTATCATGCGTTTCTTCAGGGCTAGAGCCAAGTGGACAAAGGGAAAGAACTCTTGTTGTACCAAAAATCGTTCAGAGCGGGATTTTCTGTCGCGTCGGTTCAAACTGGTGCAAATGTTTGGGTTTTGTTTGTTTTTTTTTTGGTTGGTTGGTTGTTTATGTGTTAGTTTTGGTTTGACCTTGATTGTTGGTTTGTTGTTGTTTGTTAGTAATAATAATATTTAAATTTGTAATGAGGTGGGGGAGGGCGGGGGATGGGAGAGACACAAAATGGCGGAGGACATATATGCATGGATAAAAATGAAATATTATGTGAGCCATCGTGGTGAAATCATGCACTTGTCAAAATAATGAAAACTGAGAAATCGGCATTTTTCGCCCAGTTTGGAAATTTTTTTTCGAATTTTTGTTTTTTGACTCAACACCTTGTTTGTCCATTTAAAAACACTGTCATGTGTGGATTTTACTGAAAAACGTTGATTTAAGGCACCAAAAATGTAAATTTGCCATTTCCAAGTGCTCAAACTGTGAAAGTCACCAAACTTTGGCGACCATTTTCTCACTAATTTTACTTCTGAAGCCAGGCGACCCCAGGTGGAGAGAGTTGAGTAAAAATGCCACATCCTTCTATTTTAGTTTGGTATGGAATTATCTCTGTTCAACAAATGGACAAGCATTATTGAGATCAGGCAAGTTAAATTAAATCTAAAGCTGCAGTTTCTTTTTCCAATACACGATAGTTTCAGATGCTTGGTTGTCAGTTTGCACAATTGTGAGGTAACGTGGTGAAATCAGGCACTCGTCAGAATAATCAAAGTGAAGAAACTGGCATTTTTCCGCAGGTTTGTGAATATTTATCCAATTTTCGGTTTTTGGCTTTCATGCCCTTTAAAGAACACATTCATGTGTAGATTTTACTGAAAAACGTTGATTAAAGGCACATAAATGTAAATTTTCAGTTTTTATGGACTCCTAAGCTAAGGAAATTATAAGTCATCTTTGACTGCCATTTTCTCACCATTTTTACCTCTGAAATCAGGGGACCCCCTCCTTTTTCATTCACAAATGTGTCGACTTCTATTCTAGATAAATGGATATTTTTTTAATTGAAAGTAAGGCAAATGAACAACCTTTAAAATGATAACAATAACTCCATATGCCTCAAAATTGACGAGCGCATGATTCCACTGCGTTGTGACACTTATCATCAACAAGCTGTTCAACTGTTCTAAGCCCAAAAAGAAAATTTTTCTGTAGAGTGAAAACATTTTTAATTCTTTTAAAAACGCTTTCTAAATAATGTATCTCTTCTTGTTTCTTTTTTTTTTTCAACTTTTAAAATTTGAATTTTGACAAAATAATTCTCAAGCACATGCAATCAATACTACAAGAAACTGCAATTTTTTTAAAATGTCCCAATTTTGGGCTTAGTACATCTGAACACCTGGTGGATGAGTTAAAAATCTAAGGGTCAAGACTTAGTGAAGAGTCAAAAGGGTTAATACTGTATGGAGAATAACGATGAGCTCTCTTCTCTGTTCAAGACCTCCTTTCTCCTGCAAAGGCCGCGTGGCCAGACAGGGTCGGAAGAAGATGAGTTATGTGGCCCGTCAGTTCTTTGCCGAGCTGGGCTTGTCCCAATGGCGGAGCCGAGACTTCTGGGCTATGCTCATTCTGATGATCATCGTGTTCTGGATCCGTCTGTACCTGCACTACATCGGCCAGTGGCTTTTCCTCAGCGCTATCGACATTCCCATCAATGAGTAAGTGAGGAGGGGTGGGGGGCAGGGGCGTCTGATGGTGAAGGTTGGGGAGGGGGTGGGGGGTGGTGAAGGGGAGTGAGAGGAAAGCTAGGGAGGGGGGATATAGAGGAGACAAGGTGAATATTGATCTTTGTACAGATAGGTCTTTGTAGAAATGTCCTTGGATTTGAGATAATTTTGAATATTGTGATTTTAACATTCAAAAATTTTGTTAGGAAAATGGAAATCTCTCACTGAGATTTGAAGAAAAATGTTGTGTTTTTGTTGACTTGGAGTCTGCTGGATTTTTTTGGTAAAATTGTTTTAATGTTATAATGCTATACCATTGTTGTGGCAGTAAACTAGTTAGTTATTCCAGTTTTTTGCATTTCTTCCAACAGACTTAAGGCCACACACGGGTTTTGGGGGTTCAGTTTGGGTCCAGACAATGTTTTTTGGGGTCTAAAGAAACTTCCTTCAAAATTATGTGCTAAATGGAATGGAAGTACTCCCAAAGCTGTATTTCAAAGATATAGCCCCATAAAATCTCTAACATTGTGAGCCTATACAATGCTTTAAAGCAATTTTGAGATGTTTTACTCCTTTCCTTATAATATACATTTCTTGGCTTTAAAACGTAAATACCCAAAAACAATTCAAGAAAAAGGCATGAAATTTGTAGGGTAAGTGCACCATGTAATTCCAAATAAAATGGCGTTAGCTTTTTCTAATATTGGTAAAAAAAGATATTTTTAATGGTTTCTTTACTTTGCTATTTAATTTTGACTTTTGTCCTTCACTGATATGCAAATCTTCAAAAAGTAATAAAATTATTAATATTTATAATTTCAAGAAAAGCTAGGGGTATGTTTTACAGATTTGTGTGCAGATTACAAACACCTCGTATGTAATTAGTTCATAGTTAGCATGGATGGTTTTTGAGTTTTTAGCTTTTGAAAATGGTCCTTCAGATAGCCTTGTTTCACTCTAATTTGCCATTTCTGTGATTATGTAACTGATAATGATTCCCAAAATGAAATATTTTAAATCCTTGAATGGAATACTTGGAGAAAATGAGAAAAAACACACACAAAAATAACTTAATCGTACATTTTGGTGCTAAGAAGTAGAGTGTGACCTTAACTAGTTTATTTCATTTTCTTGCATTACTACCAGCAGACTTTAACTAGTTTTTCCCTATTTCTCGTATTTCTTCCCACTGGATTGAGCTAGTTATTCTTTTATCTTGCAGTTCTTCCTATGGACCCAGCTTGCTATTCCTAATTTTTCATATTTCTTCCAATGAACCTTGCCAGTAATTCCTTATTTCTTGCATTTCTTCCAATGAACCTTGCTAGTAATTCCTTATTTCTTGCATTTCTTCCAATGAACCTTGCTAGTAATTCCTTATTTCTTGCATTTCTTCCAATGAACCTTGCTAGTAATTCCCCATTTCTTGCTTTTCCTCCTATAGTTATTCCTCATTTCTTGTATTTCCTCCAATGAACCTTGCTAGTAATTCCCCATTTCTTGTATTTCTTCCAGGTTCACATTCCTGCCCCACACAGTTACCCTCAACTACCAAGCCACCCTGCTGGAGGCCAAACAAGAGATAGCTGTGGTTGTACTTGGCCCCATGATGAATGTCCTGGTCTTCTCGTTCCTCGTCTTCTTTGCCTGGGTAGTGCCGAAGTTCATGGGCGTTTTGCCTGACATGGGGTCGAAGTTCATCATGGCCTATGGAATTTTGACTTTCTTTGATCCTCTTCTGATCTGCATTGTGGACTCTATTCTTGGGGTGAGAAGAATAATGTGTGTTTTTGGATGTAAGTTTGTCTATGTGTCTATTTTGTCTATGTGTCTGTCAGTCTGTACTTTTGTTCTATATTGACAGTAGGAGGCTGTCAAAGAAGAATAGAGGTCTACCTTTAGTGAGATTGAAAGCATGGCATCTGTGATGCTATGCTTAATCTTTTCAATTGCACTTTTCAATTGCACTTTTTCAGAATGGCAAAACTAACATGCAAAATTTTTTTGTTGAATTATCTGTTTTATTTTTATTTTTTAAGAAAGGGTGGAGGGGGGATGATGATCATAGCTTGAGTAAATAATTTTCTGTTTTAAATTTTTTATTGCCTGTAATTTGTTTGTTTGTTTTTTTATTTCTCTTTCTCTTATCTTTGTGCAGCGCTACGAAGATCAGGCAATTGAACCAATTGCAGACTTTGCCAAGCTCTACTGGCACTTCAAGAAGGCGCAAGGTGAAGGTCTACCTGGGATTTTCCTGCCTATTTTCTTATACACCTTCACATCCTTCTTCGCCGTGTCCATTCTGTACATGTACTTCTTACGGTGAGTCTATATGAGATTGTAAGATTTTCATAAGATAAGATGATAAGATAAGATAAGTCTTTAATATTCAGATTCTGGCACATTGGTTGAGTGTTCCACCACTTGAGCACGGGCGCGTATGCGCACACACATACACACACACACACACTCACACACACACACACACACACACACACACACACACACACACACACACAGAGGCATCTGCACACCCATACACACACTCTCTCATACA